TGTTCCCCCCCGCTGCCCTTCCTGGTTATTATCATTTGTTGTTGTTGCGTTGCTCTGGAGATGTCACAGCAACAGCAGCTCCAGGTGCCCGTCAGCCGAGGAGATGTAAGAGCTGCGAAGGTGAGGGCAGCGCTCTGCTGGTCAGTCTGGTGCCACCCGCAGCACAGCCCGTGCCTCTGGATGCCTGGCACAGCTCGGCTTCTGGAAAAGCCCCCCACGGCAATGATTTCCACCCCTGACCTGGGGCACTCGGAGCTCCCTTGGTATTTCAGGTGACCACATCTTGCAATGTTTGATTTCTTAGTCCTCAGACAGACCTGCATGAGTGAGTGACAGGATGTGGTTCAGCCACAGGTACAGAGGAAAAAGCTGAACCCCATGAGATTTGTGTATAGTGTGTCAGGACAAGGGAGAAGTTTGCCTTTAGGGAGTTTCTCTTTTATCAGTGCTCAGCTCTAACTGCAAAGCAACAATAAACACAGCCCAGCTTTGAAGAAAAGCAGTTAAAGGATAGTATGCAAGTATCCAACTCTTGCTTGGTCTAACAAAGAAATCAGGGTTTTCTTCTGTCACAGCAAGTAAAATGATGACTGGTCCTTCAGCAAGCACAGGCAAGAAACACAACATTGTGTCAGGGCCAGAAAAGAAGAGGTGAAATAACACCACTGTTATAACAACTGCTGTGTCAGGCATCTTCAGAGACTGCTCCTTTTTGAAGAAATATTTAAAGCAGTACTTCAAGGATTGGAAACATCACCAATTTGTAAGGATCTGCACCCTGACAAGACTCTTCTCTTCCTTAGATTAGTTTTTAAATAATCAATAAAATATTTGTTGATGGGTTTGGAACACACCTGAATCCATATTGTGAGGTTTTCCTCACTGTTCTCAAAGTCCAGCCTGGCTTTTGGAGAGGAAGCCCTAAGAGACAGGAATTAACACAAGAGTAACAATAAAACTGAAAGAGTTTTAATCCAGCCAGAGACTGGAAGGGGTGGGGGAGAGCAAAAGAAAAAATGGGAAAAAACCGTACCCTTAGGCACATGAATCTGCAACATGATTTTTCAGAGTGTTAATTACACTACAGCTTTCACAAGTCACATGCCTTAGGGGAACTCCAGGTGCTGCTCAGCCTCTGAAAAATGCTGATTTAGGTGCAGGAATAGACACAGGGAAGTCTTATTTAAAGCTTCTGTATTTAAAAGGCTGGGTCTAGCATTAAAAAAAAATAAAAAGTATGTTTGCACATTTGGATGGAAACCCAAGTTTAGCAACACAGCATTTGCATTGCTTTCATCAGGCATTATTCATTCAGGAAAGTTGCACAAGCCCCTTTCACAGCAGCATCCCAAGCTTGCTGATCCATTGCACAACTCAGACAGTGCTGCCTTCTCCTCCACACCGAGTTAGTTGTAGGGAGCAGGGAAGAGCTCTTCCCTCAAACCCAGCCCACCCCAGCACGTTTAATCCAGCCCCAGGGCACTCTGGTGTAGCAGAGGGAGAATTGTGGCAGCAGCAGCTCCGCTCTCCCCAGGGCTGTGGCCCAAAGGTCAGGAGATGGCAGGAGCAGCTCAGTGAAACCAGCACAGATCCCAGAGTCCTGGTCACACTCAGGGCTGTATTCCCACACTGTGCCCTGCGGGAGCAGCACTTGGCTGGGGGCTGGAGCAGGGGACACCTGTACAGCTCTGTCTCTGCCACCTGTGGCTCAGAAACAGCTGAGCTACAACAGAGCCTCTCTGCAATCTCCAGCCATTCTGCTTTTCTGGGAATGGAGTGAGGCCACTTTTACATTCCATCCTGGCCCCCATTTCAGTTTCAGCTCCTCAGGGCAAAAGACTATCTTTAGTTCATCTGCAAAGACACAGAACTTTCAGTTTCGTTTAGATCGTGTAAGTACAGCTGTTATATTTAAAGCATCTGAAAAGGATGAAGAATGATTTAGGGTACTATTAAAATGAGCAATTTTTAACTGAGGAGGTCAAACAAAGGTGAGTCTATTTATCTTAAAAGCTCCCATCCAAATAGCCTCAATCCAGCATCAGATAATATCTCAGAGTGTCACTCCAACTGAGAACCGGTATCCTAAAGAAAATAGTTTCAATAACAGCACGTAATCAGACAATTATTTTGAACCCAGCCTCTCTCATTCCTGTTTTGGAGAGGATAGTACCAAATCCTGTGTTAGCCTTTGGGACTCTTTCTTCACTTGGTCCCACAGCTGAGATACAACTGTAAGACATTCCCATCAGACATGACAGAGTCCACAAGAAACACCCCACAACAGGAATGCAGACTCAACCCACTGGCCACTATTTGATGTAATGCTGTCTCTTGTAGCCTTTACCTTTTATGTACACAGTCAGGCATTAACAACTTTTAACTCATAAATTTTACAACCCCACAGCAGGTGCTTGGGCTCCGAGGGTAGAAAAGGAAAATGTATTTCCTTTCATTAACCACACAGATACATATTTAAGAGGAAAATTTTCAAGCTTAACTTGGTACCATCTCCCTGTAGCCCTGACTTACAGGAGCACAGAAAAGGTAGCACCAAGAATTTCTGAAAGTCTTACACCACATAACAGGTTTGACAACGAAGCCACACTTTTTTAAAAGCCTAAAAGACAGTCTAAACCACTTTTTTTTTTTACTCTGTTTTGCAACCACCAGACGGAATGAAGGTTAAAAGGCTGAATAGTAGGATGAGTTCATCCTTGGTCATGAAAAACAGTTCTGTTTTCACCTCTAGCTTTGCACAGCTTCATTGCTTCAGCTGAAAGCAGCATGAGAGAGGTCTGTGTCACCAGTCAGCTGTCTGGGGAACATGCTCACTGACAGGGTTCTTTTTGGGCAGTTCCCTCCTGGGTGTGCTCTGATCCCTTCCTCTCACCCTTCTCAGTTCCCCCTAGGAAGGGGGTTTTGGTAGCAATGTTAGTGACTCACTCTGCACCAGGCAGGGAAGTGTTTCACTATGTGGTGCTTTTCAAGCTCGAGTCAGCCAGAGACAGAAAGCAGACTGTAAAAACCCCCAGAAGGCCCAACACCCAGAGGCTGGGGGACAGACACCCTTTGTGAGCTCGACTCATTATGGGTCAGTGCTGTCTGCTCTGTACCAAGGGGCACCCCAATGCATCAGCCTCAGACCCCAGTTCAGCTCTGCAACAGCAGCTCCAACACTCCTAACCCAAGAGACTGAGGGGTTTTTGTTGTTCCTCTTAACCCAGGTACCACTTACATGGCTTCGATTTTTCTCTTACAGGAACTGAATTTTTCCAAAGCTTCAGATATTTAGACCATGGCTGTTGGTGCCACCAACCAGCAGCACAGCCAAGAGATACCAAAAGATAAGGCATTGCCACCTCCCACATTTATCAGAGAGCAGATTTTCAACACAAACACCCTGTGTGGTACAGATCAGCTTTTCTCACCAGCTATGTCAGCAGTGCCTGGTGCTCATGCCAGGATTTGCATTGATTAATTTGTCAGTAATGGGGGTACACAGAGATACACACTTCACTTCTTTGCCTACAGCAAGTGGAATATACTTATATTTAGCACAACAAAAATCATCTGCCTGCCAAGCACAGATTTCAGAAATCACATCACAAAATAACAAGATTTTCATGGGGAGAGAGGGCACCACTCTTTTACATCTCCCCTCTCTGGTTTTGATGCCTGCATGTAAAGAAAGATCTCCAGTGACCAGCTATAGGAGAACATGACACTGACATTGTCTGCTCAGCTTTAGTCCTCACCTGCAATCTAAGCCCAGATACTCAGTTCAGCAACAGTAGATTCTTCAAGGCTTCAGTAAATTTACAAGTGCCAGGTACTAGCAGGAGCATTTAAATATTTTACAAACTTCTTTATGGAACTTTTCCTACACTGAGAACTCACCAAGTGCCCTCAAACTCTTGGCACTCCCACAGGTAATTCCTTGGGAAAGCTGAAGTTAATGAGTGCCTAAAGAGACTTGGGGGAAATGCAGCACTTGCACCAAGTTGCTGCTGTTCCCCATCCCCCCATGGTTCTGCTCTGGATCTGCTTTTGTCACAGCCTGGCAAACCCCCAGTGGGAAATGCTGCTTTGGGAGGAGGAGGAAGCATTACAGCTATTCCATGGAAAATGCAGAGAATCTGAGTAAGGCAAGTTGGAGAAGAATGGGAATTTGGAAAATGATGAATCCACAAACTGGGGTGAGCCCAATAGTACCCAAAATTAAATACTGAGCATTTTTTCCCTTTAGTTAAGGAAAAATAATAACAGAAATAAAGAGGTCTATGAAAAAAGAGAAAACTTTCTCCAGACATTGTATTTTCTAACAAGAGCATTGACACAGCAATAGAGCCAGTCTTACATGATTAAATCGTTATTTGGTGATAATTTATCACACTGGCCTAAGAAAAGCTATTAAAAGTATATTGGAAAGAGAAATACACATTTTACCAAAAATTGAGTATTTATTATTCTGTCTTTGTTATGTTACTTTCTCATGCTCCCAAAACCTTACATTTATCTACCAAGAGACTCTCAGCTAGAGGTGTTTGTAGACTCTTTGGAAAAGGAATCAAACTCTAAACAGATCACATTCAGCCTTAGCTGAGTAACTCCGGGAATAAATTAACACTACCTATATTCAGTAAATCTCATTCCTGACTAAAGGAGGCTTTTAGCATATAAACTGTTAAGAAGCTGCAAATGGAGGATTCATTTCCTGTCCTTCTCCACAGGAACTCTGGAAGAGAAAAGTTATTACTCAGTTACAGTTTTCCCCACTCACCTCTCAAAGGATGAGATTATTACAGGTCTCCAAATCTGGTTTCCTCAGCCTCTTGAAAGATGACTGAAAACGAAAATGCTGCCTCCAAAACATTCCCTAATTTGCAACTCCTCAGATGTAAACCATCACTGCCCCAGATGCTGAGGGTATGATCAGTATGACTGAAAAACCCCCTATTTCCTTGCAACACTTTATGTTAGATTCACAGAGAACTTACCCCAACCTCTTTAGTCTTCTGGCTTTTTTCCAGATCATGTTTTCTTCATCCAGCAAGTGCATTTTCCTCTCCAAGGGATCTGGCAGATAGGTGACAGATTTTTCCAGCAGTCCCAGAGCAGTTCAGATGGAACAAGAGCCCCAGCCCTCCTGGCACAGTAGGGCTAGGCTGACATCAAATCTACAGTCTCTTGGTTGTTCACAGGCAACCGGGAAGGGAAATCGTGCTTAGACTTGGAAGAGGTCAGGATTGGCACCAGCCTGGAGGTAAAAGTCAGTGTTTATTGACTGGCCTGGCAATCATCTTCACTTTTATTGATTATCTCCCAAGCACCATTTTTTTTCCAATTTGATCAAGAGTGTGTGATTTTGCTTTATTTGTTTAGAGAACAAAACCCAAGAACGTGTTTCTGGGCTGAGCAGCAGGCTTGGTTGTTCACCAACCAATTCACACCTGAATTTTATATTACTCCATAGTCCATATGAAGTTATTTGCTCATTTTCACAGGTACCTTTATTTAAATAATAATAAGCAGGTAGCTCACCAAACTGTCCTACAAAGATCTAAAAAGCCACTGAGTCAAGCCAGTGCTAAGGAGCAGCAAAAGCAGAGTTACTCCACGTGACCTCAAGGATAAAATATTCCTCAGCCAGAGCTTAAGTAGAATTCCTGAAACTGGTCCCAGCTGGCTCTGGCTGGGGTATTAAAGGCCTCTGTGTGCCCTCAGGTGACAGAAGGCCCTGAAAGTCTTCATGAGCTCTCAAGGTCCTGTCTCCAAGGATGTCTGATATGACAAGTGCATGCATAGACAATCTAAAGAGATGAGCACGAGCAGAGCAGCTCAGGGAGCAAGCCTAGGGGAGCAAATATCCTGTGATATTATCTGTGGTTTGACGACTTCACAACTGCATAGTTTTCATGAGAGTATTTGGTTCCCATGATGTGTCAAAGATTCATTCTTTGTATCTTTGCAGTCTTTTTCCAAGATATGAGTTTAATCTGAAAGACTTTTTTCCTTTATTCTCTGTTTCTCTTTTCTGTCATTGATACAGTTTTTCCACTGTGCTTTACCTTATCACTGTACCACCGTGTATAAGGCAAGAAAGACTTTCTGTGGAAATCTGGCCCATGGAGAAGCTTTTGCCCCTTTCCTATCAGTTCAACCCACTTTTATGCTGTTCGTCTTCTAACACATCCCCACCTCACAAACACACCTTTCTGTTCTTTGCTATTGCACCCTCTGAACCGATTTTCTCCGGGTAGCCTCAAACCTGTAAGAGCAGCCCCTGCAGCTGCTCCATGGCCTGGGCTCATGGATGAGGTGGTGCGAGCGGCTGACCCCGAGCACCGCCGGGTCGGACAGCGCTCCGAGCCGCCCTGTCCCACCGCGGGCGGGAAGGGAAGGGAGGAAGGGCCGTCCCCCCGGGGATGCCGCTCCTCCCCTCGCCGTCTCTCGGAGGCCAGGTGGCGGCGAAGGGCGCGGGAGCGAGGGGAGCGCTGCCGGCGGGGACGGCAGGTGAGGAGCGCGGGGCGCTGCCGGAGCGACCCCGGCACGGGGCCCCGGCGGGCGGCTCCGCGCTGCGCCGCGGCACCTGCGGCGGGCCGGGAGTGCCCACAGCCAGGGCTCGTTGCTTTCACAGCCCCTTCCGCGGGGCCGAGGCCGCCCGGCACTTCCTCAAAGTGCAAGCGGCGCTGCCGCTGCGGGCCGGGGCCCTCAGGCACCCTGCGAGCTGCGCCGGGAGATCCACGGGACCCCTCCTGGCCTTAACCCCGCCTCGTTAGCGCCTGGCTCCAGCGCGATTCGCATCTTGCTCCATTCCCGCTCAGCGTTTGAACTTTAGGGCTGTAAGGGCTAAAATCTGCGGAGTGCTCGGTCTGTAGAGGCACTGCTGCTTTTCCATAGCTGCGCTGGCCACAATGCGCCGCAGAAATCCCGAGTGGAGACAGCAGTAGCCTGAGGACACGTTTCTGGCCTGTTTGATCCACCCGTGCCAGGCCTTGCAGCTCCCACGTGGAGCCCAGGAGCTGGGGCGCGTTCCCGAGCAGATCCAGGCTTGACCTGAAGGCTGTGAGGTGTGGAGCCCTGACGGTTTGGGTTTGGCTGGGGTTTAATACTGAGGGGTTCGTTGTCCTGGTCGCTTTGCTTGCCCCGTTTTCAGACCAGGCTTTGTTTGTGCTGCGTACTCCAGTAGATTTACAAGTGTTTGTGTTGCCTTATCTTCAAACTGAAACCTCCTGGTCTGAAGAGGAAGTGGGGAGGTGCGCGGCTTTAGGGAATGATGAGTGCCAGGACTAGTGCACTGAGGCCATGGCTGTCCAAGCAGTGAAAGAAGGGGTTTCACCCACCCCTTGGGCTGCTCATTTTCACCCGTGTCAGCACAGGCATTTGTGTGCACAATTAGATTGGGAAGAAAAACCTAATTTAAAGACGTCCAAAAAAAATTCAGATGAGTTCCTAAATGTTTTTGCTGGCCCAAGAGGGCAGATGAGACTGCTGCCTTTCTGTAACTAATGGTTTATAGTGTAACAAGGTTTGTAGTGGAACAAGGGTAGGCAAAAGTAGAGTTCATCTGCTGGACTGCACCCCTGTGCTCCTGAAATAAAATCCCATCATTGTCATCCTTTGGCCATGGATTACTTTTGAAGTTGTTTATTGATGCTTAGGAGCACGGCTAGGGGCATTTTGACTTTTCTAAAGTCAGGACTTTTGTCTTGCTATGAATGCATTGCAATGACAGCTGTGCTGTGCACCTTGTACTGCACTTGTGCCTCACCTGCCTGGGAGACCAGCTCATAAAGTCAGGACTTTTGTCTTGCTATGAATACATTGCAATGACACCTGCCTGGGAGACCAGCTCGGGAGCTGGGTCTTGGATGCTTCAGGAGAGCCACAGCCCTTCCCCTCCATGGGTGCCCCCAGTCTAGTGCGTACCTAAGCTCTTAAATCCATGTGCACACAGCAGCACAAATTCAAAATCCTTTATCCCAGAGGCAGGAAAGGCAGTGTTCCCAGTGTCCAATACAATGCCTTTATTTACCAAGGCAAGCCAAGCAAACTTCTTGGACAAGTACCAACTCTTGTTGGTTTAGTAACTGTTTAGTGTAAAGGTGTAGGCTGGCACATGCAAGAACCCAGTTAACAGCAGGGCTTGCTCCACAGTGTGAGTTGGCCTCTTGGAGTCACACAGTTATGAAGCTGCAGTTTTCTGACTTCGGGCTCTCTGTGTGTGTCTGTAATTTTGGAACTTCAGGGTGGACTCCCAGCCCCATCTCAGTGAAACTCGCTGGTAAGGTGATTTCCTTCTAAAATGATGGCTTTGAGCTGGTCAGATTATTCATTTATAATGTCATTTGTTTAAGGGGAAATCCATCTAATCTTTAACATATACACTTTCATTGCCTGTATGTTTGGAATCACATTCCTTATTATTCGACTTTGTCATTACCACTTCATCTCTGTTAGCCCTTTGATGGCAAGTTTTATATCAGTGGGGTTGACATCAGGTTTTAAATCACTAAGTTCTTGTTTTTAAGAAGATCTACAACACTGTAACATTGTTACATCTCTTCTGGGTTAGTTATTTTCTGTGTTAAAAGCAGTCTGAGTAGGGCCCCTTCAGCTAGAGTCTGTGAGCTGGGTTCTCGTGTGCTGTTGAAAGTTTGCAATAAATTGAATTCATCCATTTTAGTGCCTATGCCTCAAGTGCAAAGGCCTTTGTCAGGACAGAGAGCTGTCTCACTGATTAAATATCACAAATCCTGCCTGCAGCATCAGTTACCTTATGCCTACAAGCTCTTTCTTCAGCAGAAGCCAGCTGATGATAACCAAAGCTTCTACTTGGAGCGTCTCCTCTAGTTTGGCTTGGCATGATTCAGTGAAACTCGCTGGTAAGGTGATTTCCCTCTAAAATGATGGCTTTGAGCTGGTCAGATTATTCATTTATAATGTCATTTGTTTAAGGGGAAATCCATCTAATCTTTAACACATACATTTTCATTGCCTTTATGTTTGGAATCACATTCCTTATTATTCGACTTTGTCATTACCACTTTATCTCTGTTATCCCTTTGATGACAAATTTTATATCAGTGGGGTTGGCATCAGGTTTTAAATTACTAAGTTCTTGTTTTTAAGAAGATCTACAACACTCTGTAACATTGTTGCACCCCTTCTGTCTTAGTTACTTTCTGTGTTAAAAGCAGTCTGAGTAGGGCCCCTTCAGCTAGAGTCTGTGAGCTGGGTTCTCGTGTGCTGTTGAAAGTTTGCAATAAATTGAATTCATCCATTTTAGTGCCTATGCCTCAAGTGCAAAGGCCTTTGTCAGGACAGAGAGCTGTCTCACTGATTAAATATCACAAATCCTGCCTGCAGCATCAGTTACCTTATGCCTACAAGCTCTTTCTTCAGCAGAAGCCAGCTGATGATAACCAAAGCTTCTACTTGGAGCGTCTCCTCTAGTTTGGCTTGGCATGATTACTGTTCACCTGTCCTGGCAGGAGCCTGGTGGGAACTCAGACGATTCACCCTGCTGAGAAGGACACATGCCTACATCCCTGTGCAAGTCAGCAGGAACTGCAGATCTGTGTCTGGATAATGCTGGCAGAGAGCCACTAAAGTTGTCTCCCCTTGTATGTACCCAAATAGGTAAAACTACTCTGGATTTGGTCCTGTGGGAGCAAGCTGGCAGAACTGCAAGTGTAACCTTTGATTTGCAGTAAAAATTAGAGCCCTAAGTGTTCAAATCAACAAAATGCCTTTGTTCACTGGACAGATTGCCAAAGCAGATCCCACAACTGCAGGCTTTGCAGTGTCCAGGCTGGTAGATTGGCACTGGATGGTGGGCAAACCCAGCTAAAACTGAGCTTTATCTACTCAAATGGAGGCATCTGGGTTGGGGGTGTGGCAAAACAGAACAAAACCAAAAAATCCCACATTCCTATCTTGCAAGATCAGTTGCAGGAGCAGAGTCTAGTTCAGAGGTAACGAGATAACACTTCTGAAGTGTTATCCATCCAAGGCTGCTGTGAAATCCTGGCAGCATGGAATGATGTTGAGGCTGTGGAGAAATGTGTTTGTTTCAGAATGGAGGAGAAACATCCTGTTTGTTTGGTTGGTTTGGTTTTGCAGAGCTTACACAGACCTTTCCCAAGATGGTTTCCTCAACTGAATATGGGTCGCACACCTGGGACCTCTTGCTGACAGTTGATCATCAACATGAAGGTGTAGCAAAGGAAATTCCACTACAGGTCACAGGGGACCTTCATGTTGGAGGACTGATGCTGAAATTAGTAGAAAAAATCAGTGAGTAAAGACCTGTTTCATTTACAGTGTTGCTAAATAATATGTGCATCTTTCCCTCTCTGCAGAAAGGCTTCTGTGTGTTTTGCAATGTGTCACACAGTGTCACACTTCTGTGTCACACAGAGTGTGGAGCTCTCAGACCCAGGGGTTTTTGTGGTCAGAACCCCTTCCTGTGTTCCACCCTCTGTGTTACCATAGTGCCAACAAAACTTTGGGGTTGCCTTTCAGTAGATGAAAATAATTAAACCAGGCTAACGACTCAGCTGCCTTTCCAGAAGGATGGTACAGGTGTGTGGTTTGGGGGGCAGCAGAGGTAGGTGGTGCCTGTTATCCACCCGTGGCTGTCAGAGAGGATCAGTTGTTGAAAGGCACTTCAGAATTCCTGT